CTGTGAAGCTTCCTGCTCCTTCTCAGGTGTGGCTTGCTGCTGTGGCCTCAGAGAGCAGAGCTGGAAGGAGCTTCTCAAGTTCTTGTGTTGGGCATCAGTCCCCTCAGAACTCACTCCCCTCCCACCCGACACATGCTTTCCTACTACTCCATGGGGATTAGTTTTCAACATGAATTTGAGGGAACACCAACCTTGAAAATGTGGCACATAATGGCTTCCAAGGTCATTCAAATCGTCATAGATGGTAGATCTCCTTTTTTCAGTCTAATACTATTTCACAAGCAGGTATTTTAATTTTTTTTTTTTAAGAAAGAATGAGAGAGACGAAGAGAGAGAGAGAATTTTAATATTTATTTTTTAGTTTTCTGCGGACACAACATCTTTGTTTGTACATGGTGCTGAGGATCGAACCTGGGCCGCATGCATGCCAGGCGAGCGTGCTACCACTTGAGCCACATCCCCAGCCCACAAGCAGGTATTTTAAAAATGAATAATAGTACACACACTTTCAACAACTTTCCTCTTTCCTATCACAACAATCTCAAGCCCTTCAGAGCATGATGGACCAGCAGAGTTCTCTGCAAGGATGGATGGCCATTCTCTTTCCTATGCCCACTGTGGAAACTGCACCCACACGTGGCTGCTGAGCCCTTAAATGCTATGAAGACAGCTGGAGTTACTGATTTTAATTGGCTTGGATTTGATTCTTGTGGCCCCCTGTGGGGAGTGGCTACTGTACTGGAAGGTGCTGTATTGGGCAAAAGGAAAATGGTTGCCCTCTCTGCAGCCTGGGAGAACCGCTCCACCAGGCTGCCCTGTGCTCTCCCCACCCATGGGAGGGAAGCTGCCTGCACCCCAGGCCTGGAGCAGGGCCAGCACTGACCCAGGCCATCCAACTGGGAGGTTGGTACAGGGTTTGGGTGGTCACCTGGCCTGGATGTTGGTGGGCAGCTGACCTCTGCCATGTGGGGCCTTTGTTCTCTGTGTGCCTTTTCTCCTGTGCTTGGACTGGGCAGCTCCTTGCCTGTTTGTGCCATAGAGGGGGCTCTCCCCAGGCTCTGGGCAAGGCTGCTCCCCTGCCTCTTCACCCTAGGCTGACTGCTCTGTGCACCTTGCTGGGTTATTGCCTTCTCACCGTGGACCTACATTTTCTTGGGTCCTCTCCACTTTATCAGTTTGAAAAGTTCCTTGTCAGTTAGGTTTGGAGCCGTTGCCTGCGTCTAGCTCGAAGTGTTCTGCTGAAGGGAGCTTCGGGAGCTCCAGGGACAAAGTTGTGTTTCTTTAGGGGTGCACCGTGACTGTTCTCATGGACAAGTCACAGAGAACCACTAAGTTCTGCTTTATGAGCTGACTTAATTTTGTTGGTTTTGATATTTCCACATTTGGACTGATTTTTTTTTTTTTTTTTTTGGAATGCATCATCGCACACAAAACAATGGGGATGTGTTCTTGGTCACAGGATCTGCTCAGGATTCTGGAGCTACATCTGAACACACACCTTGTACCCTTGTTTCATTCCTGGGGCTCTTTCATGGGAAAGGCCGAGTAAGGGTAGAGGGGAAGAGGACAGGCTTAGTGGGGAGTTCAGTGGCGAGAAATGCCAGCGCATCTGCTTTTTGGGAACTTCCTTTACTCTGAGTGACTAAGTCCTTTAAGTAACTGCACCAATCCACCCATTGCATGTTTTTTTTTTTCCAAAACATTTCTTATTAAATTTTTCAGTTTCATGGAACCCTATTAGAATGGCTTTAAATAATAAAACAGAAGTGATTCTAGCAAGTGCTGATGAGAAGCGGGGAGTGGAATACATGGGATGCTATGGGTAGCAGAGGTGGTGACCCCTGCATCAGTGGCCACAGAAGCTGGACAGCACCATGCCCACTGAGGGCTGCTGACTCAAGCACCTTCGACCAGGCAATTTGCAGACTCTTGGGTGTTTCCACTCCTGGGCTCCTGTGAGCAATGCCATGACCTCCAGGCAGTGAGATGTTGGTGAGGGGGTTCATCCCCTGAGTCCCCAGGACTCTGTGCCCTTGGTGCTTCTGCTCTTACCTAACTGGGAGCCTCCACATTGGTTACCATGTAGCCCTGCACATCCTCCCCAGCTGAGGGCCAGGGACCCTTTCCTCAATACTCAGCCTGACCCTTTCCTGTGTCTTCTTAGTGATTACTATTCCAGCCGGTTGGGCTGACAGCTCACTGAGGTTGATGTGCACCTCGAGCACTTTGCATGGCCTGCTGGCCATTTTTGCATCGTCTCTGGAGTGGTGTCTGAGTTCATCCCCCATTCCTTATCAGGATTGAACACTGAGCTACATCCCCCACGCTTTTTAAAATTTTGAGACAGGGTCTCACTAAGTCACCCAGGCTGGCTTCAAACTTGCCATCCTCCTGCCTTGGCCTTCCGAGTGGCTGCAACAACTTTTTATTGCATATGGAAATTATATTTAAAAATATTCTCTGGGCTGGGATTGTGGCTCAGCGGTAGAGCACTCGCCTAGCATGGGTGGGACCCGGATTCGATTCTTAGCACCGCATAAAAATAAAGGCATTGTGTTATGTCCATCTACACCTAAAAAAAATAAATATTAAAAGAGTTTTAAAAAATAAATAAAAATATTCTCTGGTTTAGCTGAGCAGTGAGTGGAAAGTCAGGGAGTAGAATTTGTGTCTTAAAAATAACATCAGATAGAACCTGCAGTGGCCTGCTGTCCTCCTCCACCTTCAGGGACAGAACAGAGGCCTGGGGGCTAGAAGGCGGCCACCCTGGACTCCCTCTTCACCGGCTCTGGCTTCCTGGGGGTCGCTCCTCCCTGTGAGCAGGGTGCTGAGGGTGGGAGGAACTGCTACTGTAGCCCCCAGGACACACTGCTTCCCCAGGGGCCTGGGGACAGGGGTGCACCTTGCTGCTAGCCCAGGCTGGCCAAGAGCTGCAGATTCAGTGTGGAAAACTGAAGGAGCCCTCAGTCCCTGCCTCTGTCGTGATGCAAGCTCTTCACTCCAGGCTGAGACCACATCCTTCCTGCCCTGCTGGGCCATGACCACTATAAATTCATCTCATTTCCTCCCCACTCGTTTCCAAGGCTGTGTCTGGGTGAGTCCATGGAGCAGGGTGCTTGGAAAGACGAGGGGAGGAAGGGTGGGCTGGGCGTAGGGACAGGGTTTTCCTGGGTTAGTGGATTAAGGATTTCTTCTTCTAGCGTCCAAGTCTGCCCTTCAGCAGTGTCTCTGGAATGTTCCTTCATGCTTTCACTCATTGTGTGTGCAAATGCATGTGTGTACGTGTGCGGGGGAGGGCAGGGGAGCAGCTTCAGCTTACCCTGTGACCCGGCAGATGTGGCCAGCATCCCCTCTGGGCAGTTGAAGGGTGGGATGCCCATGAGGACGTGAACCTGCAGGAAAGCAGGGGACAGTCAAAGTAAAGACCTGGGGCTGAGGGGAACAGAGGATGGACACCTCCTGAGGAGGAGGACCACAGAGTTGGGAGCTGCTGGAGAACTCAGAAGACACAGAAGGATGGACTCTGGGTGGTCCAAAAGCGGGGAGTTGGGAGGCAAGAGGAGGGAGAACAGGGACTGAGGCTCCCCTGTGTGTCCAGCACCAGGCTGCTGTCCCTTTCCTAGCCCTGCCTGTCTGGGTCATTACACATGGCTTGGAAGCTGATGTCCTCTTGCCAATATAGCAAGACGGAGGACTCAAGTGAGAGCATTCCAAACAAAGCCAGCCTGTCCATCTGTCCACATACTGGGAGATGAGGTGCACTTACAGATGCAGCTGGTGATCTCGCCTGGGTGGAGCCTGAGATCCAGTTAGGGAAACAGCTACCATTGTCAGGGAGGGGCGTTGCTCTCCCTTCCACCCAGGGAGGGGTGCTGCTCTCCCCTCCACCCAGGCAAGGTGCGCTGCTCTCCCCTCCACCCAGGAAGGGGTGCTGCTCTTCCCTCCATCCAGGGAAGGGGCGCTGGTCTCCCCTCCACCCAGGGAAGGGGCACTGCTCTCCTTTCCACCCAGGGAGGAGTGCTGCTCTCCCCTCCACCCAGGGAAAGGGCACTGCTCTCCCCTGAGTCTCTGAGTGCCTTGGCTTTCTGCCTCATACCTGCTGGGGGACATGATCCCACATGTGCCTCTGATTTAAACCTGGCTCTGTTCCTTCCGGCCTGTGAACTGCTGGGCAGGCACTGAGCCTAGGCCTCTGCAGCCATGTGCCGGCCATGGGAAAGTGCACATCTCATGGGCTCCGTGGAGATCAGAGAAGGAATAAACTCTAGGGCCACACAGCTGGCCAACGGGAGCCTGGCGACATGGGTGATAGCGATCATACTGGGAACTTGAAGGAGACGTGGAGGGGACACATTGTCACTTTCCACACATACTCTGGTCCCCTGGAATTTCTGTTCCTGTCCGCCAGCGGGCTGAAGAGGACAGCTGGAGACCTGCCCTCCTTTGGAGCTGCCTGAGCTCCTCCTGTGTACCTTAGACTGCTGCTGGGCCCTGGCCTGCATCTTCCTCAGGTCAGGATAGGGGAGAAACCCAGCCTTCATCCTCAGTTCCTAAAGGCGGAATCTCAAGCCGAGAAGCAGAGGGCCATTCTGCCCAGGGCCACAGCCAGGGCAGGGCTCTTTCTCTGTTCTGTCTGGTGCCTCAGGCAGTGCGAGTCTGCCAGGCACCGTGGTGTGCTCCTGCTTACGGGCATGCATGTTTCTACCCCACAGGAGGCTTCCCTCCCATGGCTCAGGCCAGCAGGAGAGCTTTCTGGTAAGCATGGGGCCCACTTTTCAAGATGGGAGGTGGTGCTTCACTGAGTCCAGTGATACTTTTATTCCCCTGAGTACTCTGAGTCCTGCATACCTGTGGGTTCCCTGGGCCTTTTCTACTTCACAGTGTTCCCTGAGCCTTTGGTGATAGTGTTCCTACACGGGCTTCTTACCCACTGCTGTTCTGCTCCTGCCACCCCAGGGAGGACCTGAGCCCCTGGACCCTGCTCCAGGCTGCTCCTCAAGATGGCAAGTGTGCGCTGCCGGCTGGCCCGCTACCTGGAGGACCTGGAGGACTCAGACCTGAAGAAGTTCAAGATGCACCTGGAGGATTACCCTCCACAGAAGGGCTGCACCCCACTCCCACGGGGCCACACAGAGAGGGCTGACCACTTGGATCTGGCCACACTCATGATCGACTTCAATGGGGAGGAGAAGGCCTGGGCCATGGCCGTGTGGATTTTCTCTGCCATCAATAGGAGAGACCTTTATGAGAAAGCTAGGAGGGAGCAGCCAGAGGCGGGTGAGTGGGCGAGGCTCTTCTTCTTTCTTTATTAGTCCTAATCAGTTATACCTGAGGAACGCTCTTCTTCAGTACTGGTGGAGTATGCCCGGCCCAGCTCTGCCTCTTTCTCTCTTGAAGTCCAGTGGTGAGGACACTTGTGCTGTTGAGCAACTCACCTTCAGAACTGCTCACTTGCACAACAGACCCTCCTCATGCCATCCAGCATTTGGAAGCGCCCTGCCTTCTGTCTCCAGAGTTTTGCTGCCTGGGTTCCTCTACAGTGGGCTCAGGTGGCGGTGTCTTTTTTGTGACTGATTTATTTCACTTAGCCTGCCCTCCAGGCTCACCCATGCTGTAGGTTCCTCCTTTCCATATATATATATAATCTCCAGGAATTGAATCCAGGGCATTTAACCATTGGGCTACATCCCCAGCCCTTTAAAAAATGTTTTATTTTGAGACAGGGTCTTGCTAAGTTGCTTAGGGCCTTGCTAAGTTGCTAAGCCTGCCTTTGAACTCACGATCCTCCTGCCTCAGTTTCCATGCCTCTGGGGTTACAGGTGTGCACCACTGCGCCTGGCACACCTTCACCTTAGAGACTGAAGGGCGTCCGAGTCTCCTGTACAGACCACATCTCACCCACACACCCAGCTGTCCCTGGACACTCGTGCTACTTCCTCCTTGTCATCAGTGATGTGAACTTTGGTGCACAAAGCCCTCTTCCAGAGCCCCGTAGGAACTCTTTTGGGCGTATGCCTGGAAGCGGACTTAGGGACCCTGTGGTCATCCAGTGCTTGTTTTGGAGAGCCCCAGCACAGCTCTTTATACCAGATGCAATTTTATATTCCCACCAACGGGACATGAGAGTCCTGATTTCTCCATATCCATTATTTTCCATTTTCAAAGCAGTAATCAGCCAAAGAAGCATGAGCTGGCACCTCATTGCAGTTTTTTTCTTTTTTTGTTTTTCTGCCTGCTGGGGATCAAACCCTGGGCATCTGCATGTGCTGGACATGGGCTGCCCACTGAGCGGTGCCCGACCCTGTCTGCAGTTGTCAGTGCCTCCCTGGGGTGCAGGTGCTGAGCACCTTCCTAGGGGCTAGTTGACCATGTGCATTGCTTCTTTGGAGAAAGTCCTACTCACGTCCTTTTCTGTTGCTGGGTTTCCCTGTTAACTCACAAGGGCGCTTTCCACATGCTGACTTTGCCCTGTTAGATGAATGACTTGCCGTGCCTCTCCCCACCCTTTGGGTTTTGCCTTTTCCTGTTGGCATCCTTCGATACCCAGAAGTTAGTGTTCTAAAGAAATTTTTTGGCTTTTCCCTCGTTCTTCCCTCCTGGAAGAGCTCTGAGAAGATCAGGAAGCAGTTTGCTTTTCCTGACTCCTTAAAGAGCCAATGCAGAGTTACCCAGCCCAGGAAGCTGCTCCCCTGGCCACCTCCTGGCCTCTGCCTGCTGGGCCCGGGGCCTGCACCCTGCTCCTCAAGTCCAGCAGGAGTGTGCTTGGTTCAGTGTCACTCACAGGGTCCACAAGCCAAAGCCCACCTGACAGCCCAGGGGGAACTCTGTCCTCACAGAATGATGTCATTTGTGGGGAAAGCCTTTCCTATGGCTGCTACCTGGGGAACGGAAGCAGTGGCAGAACCGTCCTCAACCCCTGTGTACACACTGGGGGAGATGCTTCCTCCCAGCCTGGTGTGCGGCAGGAGGGCCAGTGACCTAGAAAGTCAGAGGATGACTTCAAGCTGTGGCAGTGAAAGGAGGGAGGGGGGCACTCAGCAGATAAGGAGCTGCGCAGCCAAGTGGCCACCGCAGGGGCAGAKTGGGGAGAGAAGGGAGGTAGGGAGGAGGTGCACAGGGTGACCCTGCAGACAGATCCATGACCACACAGTTCTGACCTAAGAGTCACCCAGGGAGCTTTATAATGCTGACACACCCCTGGAGCCACACTGAAGGATGAAGCTGCTCTGGAGTTCCCAGGAGGCAGCTCCGTTGACTCTGTGGATGGTTCCAGATGGGGTGATTTGTGGAGTTTCCCTGCTTCCTAGTGAGAGAGCTGAACCCCAACCTTCTGCTTGCCCCAGGCTCCTTCTGGCCAGAGCTGCAGCCAGGTAGAAAGGCAGGGGTGTTTGACCAAAGTCTAGTTTTGTTTATTTATTTATTTTTGCAGGGGGTGGGTACCAGGGATTGAACCCAGAGGCACTTGACCACTGAGCCACATCCCCAGCCCTATTTTGTATTTTATTTAGAGACAGGGTCTCACTGAGCTGCTTAGTGCCTCACTGTTGCTGAGGCTGGCTTTGAACTTGTGATCCTCTTGCCTCAGCTTCCTGAGCTGTTGGGATTGCAGGTGTGCACCACTGTACCCGGCTCAAAGTCTAGTTCTTAGCTACCCTGCCACGCTGGCTTCCACGTCAGGATTCTGAGTGGAAAAGTTAGAATCCTAGTTTGGAGTCTTTGGGCCAGGTCAAAACTTGGGTAAGATTAGGGTGGGTGGACCTGGGATGAGTTAAATGTGGCTTTGGTGACCTTGCCAATAGCGTTTGCTTTCTCAATGAGCACACAGGCTCTGGAGTCTTCCATTTTCCTCTCAGGTCCTGCCCACCTGCTGCTGTCCTAGGTAGTTCTCCTAGGCCGACCTTTGTCTTACCAGGCCTCTATTTCTCCATGAGTAGCTACTTGGGGATGTCACCAGTGACTGTTCAGACCTCTGTGGGTGCATATTGGAGCTTTGAATATAGGAGGGCAGCTGGGCCTCACCTCACACAGATAGCCATCGCTGTGGGATCCCTGGAGTCAGCATTATAAAGCTCCCTGGGTGAATCTAAGGTCAGCCAGGCTCTAAATGACTACATTAGAACGGAACCCAATGGGTCCTTCTTGTCCTGGAAGACCCAGAAGTCTAGATGTGAGAGCACAGGGTGTGGGTGAGGTGGGCACAGGCCATGGCAGGCAGGGAAGGCTAGTCCCTGCTGCAGATCTTGAGGCCCTGGGCTGGCCTCCCTGTTGGACAGGTGGAGACTGGCCTGGCTGGYGCCTTGGCTGGTGCATCCCTGGGCCTGGGAGGGTGCTCTGAGGAGGACACTCTGAGGGTGGAGGCAGTGTGGGGCCCCAGGCTGGCAGGTGGGTGCAGTCCCATTTCAAAGGAGTGCAGGAGGCTCCCACCTCGACTTGTGGCTGAGCACCCAGAGACTGCAACCCCAAGCCTGGCTTCAGTCTGGGGGACATCTGGGGCGACCCTGACCTTGGCCACTGTTGAGCTGCTCTCAGCTGCTTCCTGAAGCCTGGCTTTTGACACTTCATGGTTTCTTCCTCTGGTGTTCAGATAATGCTCATGTTTCCGGTCCCACTGTGGTGTGCCAGGAAGACAGCATCGAAGAGGAGTGGAAGAGTTTGCTGACCTGTCTTTCCAGAATCTCAGCTTGTAAAAAGAAGCATGGTAAGCCATGGTGGCCTTCCACTGGGTTTCCGACCTGGGTCAGGGGCTGCACAGCTGGCCAGTCACGGTCCTGTTTGCTCCTGCTCCTTGTTTTGTTCTGCTTTTTGGCTCTGGAGATTGAATCCAGAGGTGCTCTCCCTTGAGCCACATCCCCAGTCCTTTTCTTTCCAAGTTGCTGAAGCTGATCCTCCTGCCTCGGCCTCTGGAGTAGCTGGGATTACAGGTGTGTCCAGTGCACTCCTCCTCTACTCCTTGGGATGCAAGACCTGTCTTAGGAAATCCACTATCAGTCAAGGAAGCAGATCCGGGCTTGCCTGGCTCCTCATGGTCCCAGAGCCCAGGGAGGTGCTGAGGGGTTCAAGGTCTAAGGATGTAGGGAGGGAGTAAGATTAGAAAAGGAAGTGCTTTCTGTCTGGTGGCTGCACGCACAGCTTGGACCTCTGCTCAGTTGCGCTTGTGAGAGTGTAATGCTTCTGGGACCCTTCCCAGCAGGCCCCGGAGAAATGAATCTCCTCTGTCTCTGTCCCCATTGCCACTCCCTCTTGATCATAGGCCCATTTTTTTCTTGTTGTTTTAAGGAATGCAGACGTGGATTTGCATCTAGACACATCTGAAATACAGTAGCACGTGTGCTCCTACCTGGGTTCCACACACACGTGGGAGGCACACTGCCTCCTGCTAGTGGCCCATGCTCCCTGCCCCCCCCCCCCCTGCCGCAGCCTCAGCGCCCCCTGCAGGGCGCACAGCCGCGCGGCTCTGTCTGCGGCCTGACTTTCTGTCTCTCCAGGGCCTGATGACTTTCTGTCTCTGCCTAGATTACTGCAAGGAGTACCGGAGACATGTGAGGAGCAGGTTCCACTGCATCGAGGACAGGAACGCGCGCCTGGGCGAGAGCGTGGACCTCAACAGGCGCTACACGCGGCTGCGGCTGGTCAAGGAGTACCCGAGCCAGCAGGAGCGGGAGCAGGAGCTGCTGGCCATCGGCGGGACCAAGACGTGGGACAGGCCCATGAGCCCTATCAGGCTGGAGCAGCTATTCGAGCCCAACGACCAGCATTCAGAGCCTGTGCACACGGTGGTATTCCAGGGAGCTGCCGGCATCGGGAAAACGATCCTGGCCAGAAAGATTATGTTGGACTGGGCATCCGGAAAGCTCTTCCAGGACAAGTTTGACTATCTGTTCTACATTCACTGTCGCGAGGTGAGCCTGGTGACCCCGAGGAGCCTGGGGGACCTGATCGTCAGCTGCTGCCCTGACCCAAACCCACCTGTGCACAAGATCATGCGCAAGCCATCCAGGGTTCTCTTCCTCATGGATGGCTTTGACGAGCTGCAGGGAGCCTTTGACGAGCACTTAGGCGTGGTCTGCACCGACTGGCAGAAGGCCGAGCCAGGGGATGTCCTCCTGAGCAGCCTCATCAGGAAGAAGCTGCTGCCTGAGGCCTCTCTGCTGATCACAACAAGGCCCGTGGCCCTGGAGAAACTGCAGCACCTGCTGGACCACCCTCGGCATGTGGAGATCCTGGGTTTCTCCGAGACCAGGAGGAAGGAGTATTTCTTCAAGTACTTTTCCACCGAGGCGCAAGCCAGTGAGGCCTTCAGGCTGATCCAGGAGAATGAGATCCTGTTCACCATGTGCTTCATCCCGCTGGTCTGCTGGATCGTGTGCACAGGGCTGAAGCAGCAGATGGAGAGTGGGAAGGGCCTGGCTCAGACGTCCAAGACCACGACAGCCGTGTATGTCTTCTTCCTCTCCAGCCTGCTGCACTCCCGCGGGGGCGGCCAGGAGCAGCACCTCTCCCCCCACCTGCGGAGCCTCTGCTCTCTGGCTGCGGACGGAATCTGGAACCAGAAGATCCTCTTTGAGGAGTGTGACCTGAGGGACCACGGCCTGCAGGAGGTGGACGTGTCGGCCTTCCTGAGGATGAATCTGTTCCAGAAGGAGGTGGACTGCGAGAAGCTCTACAGCTTCATCCATATGACCTTCCAGGAGTTCTTTGCGGCCATGTACTACCTGCTGGAGGAGGAGGAGGAGGAGGCGGAGGAGGCGGGCAGGGAGAGGGGTGTGCCCACTCGGCGTCTGGAGCTTCCAGACCGAGATGTCAGGGTGCTGCTGGAGAACTACGGCAAGTTTGAGAAGGGATACCTGATCTTCGTGGTGCGCTTCCTCTTTGGCCTTGTGAACCAGGAGAGGGCCTCGTACTTGGAGAAAAAACTGAGCTGCAAGATCTCTCAGCAAGTCAGGGTGGAGCTGCTGAAATGGATTGAAGCCAAAGCCAAGGCCAAGAAGCTGCAGGTGCAGCCCAGCCAGCTGGAACTATTCTACTGCCTGTACGAGATGCAGGAGGAGGACTTCGTGCAGCGGGCCCTGGACCATTTCCCCAAAATGGAGATCAACCTCTCCACCAGAATGGACCATGTGGTTTCTTCCTTCTGTATCAAGAACTGTCGTTGTGTGGAGAAACTCTCCCTGGGGTTTCTGCACAACTTGCCCAAGGAGGAGGAGGAAGAGGAGGAGGAGAGCAGACATCTCCCCACCAGCCAGCGAGCTCTCCTGGATCCTCATGCTGCTTATTCTCACAGGTAAGGAGACAGGTTCCAACAGGAGGCAGAATGTGCCTCTGCTTTCTGGCTCCTTTTCATGGTCCTTCTTCCTCTCCTCTCTTTTAAACTATCCTGCAAGTGCCATATAATGATGTCACCGATGCTCATTTCTGTCAGACCCCTTCGTTATCAGAGATTGACTTTTGGTTGGTGGATAAAACCAATGACAAAGAAAACCCATAAAACAAGAAACAAGTGTTTGGGAACATGCCAGTTCAGCATGAAGTATTGGGTGGGTACAGAATTGCATGGAAGTGTTTATAAACTTCAATTGCTGATAATCTACTTGGTGCATTGTCTTCGTCTATGTTTGTGCTGCTATATTAGAATGCCTGAGGCTGGGACATTTGCAAAGAACAAAGGTTTATTAATTACAGTTCTGGAGACTGGGAAGTCCTAGACCTATGGGCCTACCCCTGGAGAGGACTTTTGTGCTACATCATCCCTTGGGGGAAGGTGGAAGAGCAAGAGAGGGTGTGTGCACATGAGGGTGCAAGAAGTGGGACCTCAGCCCCCTTCCTTCTGTAATGGTGGTAGTCTATGTGAGGATGGAGCCCCTGTGACCAGAGCATTCCTACCAGGCTCCTCTGTCCGGCACACGCTTTGGGCACACATCCAAAGTACAGCATTCATGGCAGGTGGTCAGTGCCTGAGGGGCAGAACAACCCTGAGAGTTGGAGTCCAGGAACACAGAGGAGCAGGGCAAGGTGCTGCACACCTGTGGCCCCAGGGACCTGGGGCCTCAGTGACTCAGTAAGACCCTGTTTCCAAATAAAAATGAAGGGCTGGGGACATAGCTCAGTTGGTAGAGCGCTTGCCTCACATGCACAAGGCCCTGGGTTCCATCCCAAGCACTAAAAAGAAAAGAAAAGGGCTGGAATGTAGCTCAGTGGCAAAGTGACCCGAGTTCAATCTCCAAGACCAAGCCCCCTAAAACAAACTAGTAACTCAGAGGACAGGGGAACCTAGAGTGGTGGAGGGAGGTCAGTGTCAGTGGAGGCAGGGAAGCCAGGCTGCCTTGGAGGCTTGATCCTGTGTGGTGGGGGGGGGGGCAGGGACTGGCAGGGACTGAGAGAGTACAGTCTCCATGTGCAGAAAGAGCACAGGTGATCGCCGGGTGGTGTTAAGGTCTGTAAACAAGTCAAAATAACACCTGGTATTTTGCCAGGGGAATGTTAGAGTTCGTAAACAAGTCTGGATGGTGCCTGGCAAAATGCCAGAGGGAGTGGTTTGAGAAGTAACAAAAGCGAGCAGGGTGGCATGCCTGCGTGGACAGCCCTAGGGTGAGTCATGGAGGCAGGGCAGGGAGGGCAGGGCCTCCTTTGAGGCTCTGCCTTGGCTTTAGATTTATTTTAAACTGGCAAATAATGGAGAGACATAGATGATAAATAGATAAGTGACTGATAGGGACAGACACACAGACAGGCGGATGGCTTGTTTGGTGTGCTGGGGATCAAACCCAGGTCCTTGCTCACGCTAAGCATATGCTCGGACACTGAGCTGCCCCAGGCCCTCCCTGATGTTTTGACGGCGTTGATTGGCATACCCATAATTCACCAGTGCACACATATTTGGTGGTGAGAGTGCTAAAGTCCATTTTATTGATTTCAACATACACAAAAATTTGTTATCGACTGTGGTCCTCAGGCCGTGCCGCAGGCAACCGAAGCTCATCCCTTCCCCACTTGCTGAAGCTTCGCCTCCTTTCACAGGCCAGCCCTTTCCCCTGTCCCCATCCCTGCTAGCAAACACTGCTGTCCCTTCCTGGGACGTTGACTCTTAGATTCTCCCATGTGCTTTGGCATTAGGATGTCACCCAAATCACCCCTTGGGGGATGGCCAGGGAGCTGAAGCCAGTCGCCCTGTCCTACCCGGAGGTCCTTGGGTCATTTCACTTCTGAAGTCCCTTCTGTGTGACTGAAGGCACCATCTATGGACCAGGAAACGGACCCTCGTCGGCACCAAGCGTGCCGCCCTTGCTCTTGGACGTCCAGAGCATCGGCAGCAAGCCCATTTCTGTTGTTGACAAGCCGCCCAGTGTCTCCTATTGGATGCAGATGGGCAGATGCCCGAGCGAGGCTGTCCCTTGCTGTGGAAGACTTGCCCAGGGCAGGCAGGCTGTGGGCAGCTGGAGGGCGCCGGGGGTCCATTCTCGGTGGCAGAGGTCTTCCCAGCGTCCCGCCCTCTGCATTCCTCCTGAGCCTTCTGGGCCTTCCCAGCCCTGGGGCCTCCTATGAACCAGCCAGGCATCTCTGGTTCTGCTCCTGACTTTAGAAACCAGTCTTCCTTCTCTCCCTCTCCCTTCTGACTTCTAGGCTGGTGAGCTGCTCTCTCACGTCCAGCTTTTGCCGGGGCCTCTTCTCAGTGCTGAGCAGCAATCAGTGCCTGACTGAGCTGGACCTCAGTGACAACACCCTGGGGGACCCAGGCACGAGGGTGCTCTGCGAGGCTCTCCAGCAACCGGGCTGCAACATCCAGAGGCTGTGGTGAGTGCCCCTTGCTCCTCGCGGGAGGGGCAGGCCTGCAGGGACGCTGGGGCTGTTCTCAGCTGCCTGGAAAAGTCCACAGCCCCGACTTTATCTCCCAGCCAGGCCGAGGGTCAGCAGGATGGCTTTTCCTGAGGCCTCTCGCCTGGGCGCGGAGGTCGCTGTTTTGTCCTTGTCTTCACACTCTCTCTGTTGGGTCTGTGGCCTCTCCCTGACAGGACACCAGTTAGAGGTCCATACCAATGACCTCCTTCCACTTACCACTGGTTGGAAGACCCCCTTCCAAATGCACGTCTATTCTGTGGTCCTCCTGTCCATTGCAAGTGGCCAGAAGGACAGCTGGGGAAGTTTTGGATGGGGGAGGACTGGGGAGGAACTGAGAAGAAAGTGAGTTCTTGGTGGCAAATAAAAAGGCCATGACTTTTACTCTCTCCCGTGTCCTCATGGCCAGGTTCATGGAGGAGAGCCGGAGTTTCATTACGCATGGTCACGGTTAGCTGAGTTATACCACCAGGATGTTCTGCATAGACTGAAATGTCCTGGGGACTCTCCTGTGGCTTTGCTAGGAAGTCCCACTGTCCGCCAGAGCTGAGTCAGATTCACATGTCTGAGTGCAGCTGGGTTCCCTGCCCTCTGCAGCTCCAGGTCAGCACGTGCCCCTGCGCTACATGAAAAGCTGCATGTCCACAGGGAGGCCTGCTGCTTCTTCTTTTTTGGGGGGTGGGGTGGGTAAAAAGTGTTTCCCAGGCTGGTCTTGAGCCCCTGGAGACCTTCCCACCTCAACCTCCCGTGTGGCAGGGACTGCAGGTCTGGGCCACTGTGCCCAGCTCCTGCGGCCACCTCTCATGCTCATCACACCCACCCGACCCTGGCCTCATCCATTTCACCTACTGTACAGCCACTGTCCCCTTTCCTGGTTCTCACCAGCCCYGCTCCAGCAACCCTGTATGCCTGCTGGTTATTACAGTGGTCTCTTGGTCCTCTGGGTCAGTCTTGCTGCTCTCTTTGCAACACCTGGACATACATCTACAGAGAGCCTGTAGGCTGTTTGGTCTCTCCATCTGCTCATGCCCCCACCCATCTGTTCTGCATGCAGGAGACGGGATTGTTCACAAGTCCTACCTTGGCTGTGTCTTCCCATGCCTGAATCTCTTGCAACTCTTTTCATAAATTAGAAGCCTCCTCTTTCCCCAGGGTTCTGGTTGTTGACCATGCACCCTTGGTTCTTGAGCTTCGCCCCAAGGCCCTCTCCTTGCTTCTCCTCTGGGTTCCCCACATGATTCTAGGGGGTGAGACACAGACAGGGATAAGGAGATGCTTGTGGATAAGGAGAGACTCAGCTGTCTGTGTGCTTGCAGTTGATATAAAGATGGGGACAGAAAGGAAGGTGCCCCAGGTGTTCCTGCTCCCACACAGGGACAAATTGTTGTTGTTGTTGGGGGAGATGGCAGTGGTGAAGTGTGTATGTGTGTGTACAGTGGTAAAAGTTTTCTGTTGCTGCAACAAAATACTTGAGGCTGGGTATTTTAGAAAGAAAAGCAGCTTATTTGGCTCACAGATTTGGAGACTAAAAGCCCAAACAGCCTGGTGCCAGTCTTGGGGAGGGTCTCTTGGTGGATGGCATCATGATGGGAGTGTGTACCAGAGGGAGAGAGCATGGTGAGTTTGGAAGCTGGAGAGTCGGGAGGGGTTGGGCTCACTCATTTACGACACCCTCTTGTGAGGACTAACTGGGGTACCAGGAAGATGATGCTGGTCTCTTTGGAGGCCAGCACCCTGGTGACCTCATCACCTGCACTCGGCCCAACCTCTTGAAGGTCCCACGACCTCCTGATATCACCATGCTAAGCCCAAGCCCCTGACATGTGAGCCGTGGGGGATGGGTCACCTCCAAACACCTGGAGGCCATTGAGAACCAGGCCTTCTGCTTTAGTGTCTCTCCTCCGGGTAAACGGAGCACTGTGATTAAATCGTCACGAGAACAGGGGAGAAAAGCTGGCAAAGACAGCGAGGCCACTGCTGGGGCACCGCTGTGGGGACGTGGTGCCGAGCTGGACCCGGTGCTGCCTCTCCATGGCCAGATGCCCAACACCCACCCTGTAGAGTTGGCCTCCTGGTGCCAGGGCTGGATTTAGGAGCTCTGGGTGGATGGCATTCCCACGAGGGCCTGGCACATTCCCCTCGCACTGGAGAACCCAGGGCCTGCTGGTGCACACAGCAAGTGCACACTGGGTGGACAGCCAGGAAGGGACCGTTAGCCTGCCCTCTGACCATGTGACAGGAGCCCGAGGGAAGCAGAGGAGGAGGTTTGTTTTGGCTCTACTTCCAGAGGTTTCTCGGTCTGGTGCTGCTGCTCTGGGCCTGGGGTGGGACAGCCACTCAGGTGGGGCATGTGTGGAGTCCATTCACCACGGTGGCTGGGACCTGAGGAGATACAGGAGTGGGGCCAGGGTCCCCGTGTCCCTTTCCAGGGCCTGTCCCCAGTGACCTCTCTCCTTCCCCAGGCTCCACCCCAAAGGCTCCACCGCCTCTTGGTCGCACTGGGGGCAGATGGCCATGCCTACTGCACACAGGCCTTGGGGACAGCCCAGAGCCCACCGTGACCGGAGCCACATCATGACACCTCTTGCCTCCGTCTTGCTGTAGGCTGGGGCGCTGTGGCCTTTCCCATCTGTGCTGCTTCGACATCTCCTTGGTGCTGAGCAGCAATCAGAAGCTGGTGGAGCTGGACTTGAGTGACAACGCCCTGGGAGACTTTGGGATCCGGCTTCTGTGTGTGGGCCTGAAGCACATACTCTGCTGTCTGCAGAAACTCTGGTGGGTCTGGGCGTGCTGGGCAGCTCTGCCTGTGGGGGTGCCTGGCAGCTCCTGGGCAGTGAGCCACGGGAGCTGGTGCTTCACAGTGAGAGCGGCCGGGCTGCTCGGAGGACCCAGGTGTCTTCTGTGGGTGCTGTCAACCACCCAGTCGGGGCTTGGGCGAGCCGGTGGAAGCCCTGGTGGGGCATGAAGAAATGGTGGGGCCAGCCAAGGCCCTTAAGGCCACGGTGGGTGTGCGGGAAGAGTGTGGGACTTCATGGGGAGCTCTCAGATAGATAGAAAACCCATGCCAAAGTGTGACGCTTCCTGACACTGGAGGGAGACTTGCATTCTGGAGAAGGGAGCACTCGGGAGGGTGGGGCCAGTTCATGATGGAGACGTGGGGACAAAGGAAAGCAAGCCAGCACTCCAGTGTTGTGGAGGGGTGAAGTGAGCCTGGGGCACTGGTGGGGGGCAAGGTGGCACAGCCCCCTTGGGAAGCTGTGTGGCAGTTCCCCAAACAGAATGACCCCTTGAGCCAGCAGCTCTACTCAGAGGCTCAGGCACAGGCCCACAAAGAAACGCAGCAGGCAGCTGGGAGTGACCCACCGCAGGTGTCCCCTGGTGGAAGGGGCCACCGGCCTTCGGGCCCATGTGCAGGCTGAGCTAAGCCAGGCGCAGGGCCGCACTGCACCACCCCACAGGAAACCTGGGAGAGTTAACAAGGTGGGGAGGCCAGGAGAGGGATGTGAAGGTGCCCAGCTACGGTTCAGTCTATGGAAAGAGCTCCAGGCATGGGTGGCCGTGGCTGCAGGAGACTGTGCACGGGCGTATGCCATTGACTCGTGCAGCTAGAATGGCAAAGTGGTCGGCTTTATCTTACTTTGCCACCTTGGCATCAGCCCAGGGGCCAGTGCTGGATGGGCTTGGAAGGGCTTGCTTTTTACCACAGGGGGAGGTCAGGCTCCCTCGGAGGGTGGGGCACGCGGGCGGTCAGGTGCTCCCCCTGGAGGGGCCAGCTGGAGAGCCACAGACTTTCTCCTCTCCGTGAAAGGTTGGTCAGTTGCTGCCTCACCTCAGCATGCTGCCAGGACCTCGCGGCCGCGCTGAGCGCCAGTCGCTCCTTGACTAGACTCTACATTGGAGAGAACGCCCTGGGCGACTCAGGAGTCGGGACTCTCTGTGAGGCCGTCGGACATCCACAGTGCAGCCTGCAGAAGCTGGGGTAAGGCTGCCTCCAGCCCCATGCAGAACGTGGTGGTGACCCCAGAGAGGGAGGCCGCTGGGCTTAGGGAAGAGAACCAAGCAGCCGTGGCAGAGTGTTCCGGCAGGGGTCGCCCTTCCTGTCCACTCCACAGTCCACCAATCATGGACTTAACCAGCCGCAGACCAAACCTATCTGAAAAAATAGGTCTGTACTGAACATAAACACAGGTTTCCCTTGTCATCGTCCCCTAAACAGTGCAGTGTCACAGCTGCATCGTGTGCATTCCATCAGGGATGGTAAGTAACTTCGAGGGGAGTCCAAGAGGGTGTGCTGGCTATAAGCACATTCTGCACTACTCTGCGGGCACGTGAGCACCTACTGACTCCGATGCCACGGGGCGGGGCGGAGCCAGCCCCCCAGAGGATACCGAGGGTTAGCCGGGTTGCTGCTAATGAGGCCAGTATTTGCTAATTTGTGGTTATTGGCATTCATAAAGTTAGAAGAGACTTTAGAGAAGGTGCAGCCCAATTCCCACTGAATGAGGAAGCTCTAGAGTTGGCCCGAGTTCACTTGTTCTAGGTGTGGACACCTGTAGGCATGCAAGTGATCGCAGCAGTGTGGCCTCAGCACAAAGCGTGTCTCCCCATGCAGCACTTCCTCTGGTTCCCTGTTCTGGTTCCTGTCCTCCTTCCCAGGGCTCTGAGAAGCAACTGTAGTCCTGCCCCTGGGTGGCTGTCACCCTCGTCTTATCTTGCACGACATTGCTAAATCCCCACCTGGGACACAGCTCAGCATCTTTACCCACCCAGTCGCTCTCCCAGGGGGGCTGGCTTGCTGAGGGTCCTTAGAGGGAGAGAATTTTTTTTTTTTTTAATATTTATTTTTTAGTTATCGGCGGACACAACATCGTTGTTTGTATGTGGTGCTGAGGATCGAACCCGGGCCGCACGCATGCCAGGCGAGGGCACTACCGCTTGAGCCACATCCCCAGCCCTGCTGAGGGTCCTTAGAAAGGCACCTCAGACAGGAAGTTGGGGGCCTCCTTCCTTCCATGAGCTATGCTTTTGCTGGCCGACTCCCTGCTTGCCTTGGGTTTTTGGCAGCCATGTCAGGCTTTCGAGACTGGATTTCTGCAGTAAATAAGAATACAGAATACCGATCATGCATCCCTGCATGGTTTTCTCAGTTGGGCTCATAAAAATGACACAAAGTAGTTATAGGAGTCACCAACATTTTCTTTTCTTTGGGCCATTGGAGATTGACACCAGGGATGCTTTACCATGGAGCTACAATTAATTTTTAAATTATTTTAAATTTTTTAAAAATTAATTTTGATTAAATATTTTAAAAATTTCTTGAAACAGGGTCTCATTGAGTTGCTTGGGGCCTTTCTAAATTGCTGAGGCTGTCCTTGAACTCGCAATCCTCCTGCCTCAACCTCCTTGGTCTCTGGGGCTACAGGTGTGTGCACCACCAAGGCCAGGTAGAGGAGGCAGTGAGGCTCTGGGCACAGCCTGTGCCTGAGGATGCTGGGGAGAGGTGGTGAAGCTCCCCGCACACACACACACTGGCATCATTTCCTGTGCCCTTGCTGCCTGGTGGAGTGTTGCTGTGGGGCTCTACGGGGGCCTCTGCATCCAGCTCTCAACCTGCAGTGGGCTCACATGGACCTTTCTTTTGACCCATCATCTAGGCCTGTTTGAATCATTTTTTTTTTGGCGGCGGGAACTGGGGATTGACTCAGGGGCCCTGGACCACTGATCCACATCCCAGCCCTATTTTGTATTTTATTTAGAGACTGGGTCTCAATGAGCTGCTTAGTGCCTCACTGTTTGTTGCTGAGGCTGGCTTTGGACTTGCGATCCTCCTGCCTCAACCTCCTGAGCTTCTGGGATTACAGGCATGTGCCACTGCACCCAGCTGAACCTTGATTCTGTTGGTATGTTGTGTAAAGACAAGCAAACAGTAGGCATCTTTGTTCACATTTTACTGACATAAAGTTGGCCAGATCAGCATTCAGGGCAACATATAGTAAGAAGGGTTTTTGAGGAGCACTCCGTCAGTGCAGTCAACCACAGTCTGCATCAGGAGGCCTGGCCCTCCCTTGCCTGCCCACCCCAGAGCTCTCCTTTCTGGAGGACAGCTGCACGCAGAGCTTCAGCACTGTGCTCTGCTGCTCTTGGTTGTTCAAGGTGTGATTTGGCCCCTTTATTTTACAAGTAAATAATGTCTGTCTTCGAAAACATCCTCAAAGGGAGAGGATGACAGATACAGATAAGAGGCAAACAAAAGTGGCCTCATGGGGGTGCTTCTCTGCCCACCTTCTGTGAAGACTTCCTGCACAAGCCACATCAGAGCAGGTGCTGGATCAGGTGTGGCATGAGCTGTGAGAAGAACAGGGACTAGCACTCTGGGCAAGGCCTACAGAGGAGAGGCCCCCACGACCCTGACCTCTGTACCCAGCTGACTAAGTTGCTCAGGGCCTTGCTAAATTACTGAGGCTGGCCTCAAAGTTGCTGTCCTCCTGCCTCAGCCTCCCCTGATGCTGGGATCGCAGGTGTGTGCCTCCACACCCGGGTCATACACATGTAAGTCTCTAGAGGTGGATTCCTTAGGTGGACTCAGGGAGTTGGGACTTCCAGACACCTGTGTTTTATTAGGTATAGCCAGATTTTCTCCTCTTGAACTTCAGGCCTTAATCTGTAGCTTACATGTTGTGTCCCCTGTCCCTCACCTCCCCAGTGTCACATAAGCATAACGCAGAGAGTATTTGCCAACGTGATTAATCATCAAAATGGACCTCTCCCTCTTTGAACTGCTCCCACTGGATGGGGACTCTTCTGGGACCTGCCAGCCAGTGAACACCGGGAAGCTCTAAGCTGCCTTTACTTTCAGTTCCGTCCTTTTATTTCTTCTTCTTATTTTTGGTTTCCTTAACGTCACACCAAGGAAACTTGATAGCCTGCAAAAATGACAGTATGGAGCCCTTCCTCAGAATCCTCAAAAAGGTTTTGTGAAAGTAGGATGAGGTTGCATGCTTGGTCACTAAACATGAGCCTCTGGACCAGCCCCAGCCCCATTTCTGTCCCCTCCCGGCGACACTGAGCTGGTGTTAGTGCTGGAGCTGGCCTGGGCTCACTCTCCTGCTCCTCTGGTCTCTTCTTAGGTGACATGGTTGTCCCTTCTCCTCTTTATTCTCAGCTGTGAAGGCCCCACTTATACTTTATTTGAAAAAAAAATTTAGTTGTAAATGGGCACAATGCCTTTATTTTACTTATTTGTTTTTATGTGGTGCTGAGGATCCAACCCAGGGACTCAGACATGCTAGGCAAGTGCTCTACCACTGGGCCACAACCCAAGTCCCCCACTTATTCTTAAGCAATTACTCTGATCCTCATTTTTTTCCCCCATGGTAAGTGTAGGGATAAGAGAAACATCATGTTGAGTTTTAATAATTCAATAGGATAATTCCATTCAGCGTCATCACCCCACAGTGAGGTACCTAACAAATACTCCACCAGTGTTAGCTCTTCAGTCTTCGTTGTGAGATGCTCTTGTGAGTTGAGGCCCAACAGACTAACCCCCCTGCAGTGCCTGGCAAGGATTCTGTGCTCAGTGGACACAGGGTGAGCTGGATGTGGGGAGACCGAGACGCCCCGTTGCTGTGCCCTCTAGTCAGGGGATTTGTTGTTTGACTGTGCAAACCTGTCGCCGTGCACACCTACCTGCCAGCTTCCGGTGTCCTTCCAGCTGCAGTACTGGATCCCTGGCCACGCCCAGCCCTGAATGCCAGTGTCTCCACAGACTTCCTGCTGCTTGCTCACTGCTGCCCTTCCTGGGTAGGGCCCCTTCCCCTCCTCTGGCACTGCCCATCTCTGCTAGTGAGCCTCGTGTCCCTTCTGTGTGAGGTCATCGAGGACCTGATGGGGGTCCTTCCTGGAGGAGGGAGTAGGCCACTCAGCGCCTGTCAGTCTGCTGGTCTGGGCATCACTTCCCCTCCATCCCATGTCCTTGTTTTTCTCACTCCAGTTCTCCCTTGACTAGTGAAACAGAGATGAGATGGTGACAGGACTTCTTGTCTTCCTGGTCATGTGTTCACGCACACTATTGGAACGACTCCTTCTGTTTCTGTTGTGCATGATTTTAGAGACCAAAGGGCTTAAAATGTGCCCTTGCTGAGAGCTCTGGTCAGGGGCACTATTACCGCATGAGACGTTCTTGTTCATGGCCATTCACTGCAGACGGAGTGGTCTTTGTGTGCTGCCCGTGTGCCTTCATGAGCTCCTGAGCAGGAAGGACACAGCTGTCTGTCTCAGAGCCCTCACCGTCTTGTTGGGTGACAGCTCAACTTGACCCAAAAGGGAGAACATTAAACTCCTCACCCCTTCTAATGCAAACCAAGATTTACGCTCTGAGAATCCCTTTCCTGGGCAGGAGGAAGAGGGAATGGACAGCAGGGGTGACAGATAGGGATGTCCAAGAGGACTGGGAAGTCCTTAACCTGAGCTTGGCACCGAGGGCTGTCAGGGACCTCGCCCTGTCTCTACCACCTTGCCATGTTGGTCATGTTGAATTACTAGGTGAGAGACCAGCGTCTGCCCTTGGAGAGAGGCACACGATTCCCTGAGACTCGGCTTTCTATCTGCAAAAGGTGTGGAGCCGTTATGGCTGCACCAGAGTCACTCAGGCAGGCCTCGCGGTGTTGGGGCTGTCATCAGGAGCTGCTGGAGTGTTTTCCTGGTTGGAGTGCTGCTGGGCGCCTGAGGCAGGAGGAATCTGCAAGGAAGTGCAGTGTGGGGGGATCTGGGATCCTTCACTTTTCCTCTCCCTCCCTGCAGAGCATCTGTGGAGAGCTGCCTGCCTGTGGGATGCCCCTCAGACTACCCTCAAGGTGAAGGGCACAGCTGCTCAGACGGCTGCTGGGATATCTGGGATCGGCACCCGCTGAGGGCTCACTCTGCTCTTTCTGCAGGTTGGTGAACTCTGGCCTCACATCCTCTTGCTGCTCAGCTCTGTCCTCCGTGCTCAGAACAAACCGGAGCCTCACACACCTGTACCTGCGTGGCAATGCTCTTGGGGACGCTGGCGTCAAGGTCCTCTGTGAGGGGCTCCTGCTTCCCAGCTGCAGGCTGCAGTTGTTGGAGTGAGTCCTCTGCTCCCTCAGGTGGTGTGGGGGTGGTCCCTGGTGGGAAGGGCCTGAGGCATTGAATCTGAGAGGCCAGGAGTCACAGATGTGGCTATGACAGAGTCTCAGGACAGCAGGTGTTTTCAAGATGGTGTAAAGCCAAGTCAAGCTCCTTGCACCACAGTCTTCTGTGCAGCTGGCAGGCAGGGACACAGTGGTGCTTGCAGTTTATGGAAATCTGGGGCAGACACAGCCTCTGGGCATGACAGCTTAAGAAACTTCCCTTACTAATTGGTGGGCACTGACCTCCCCTTTAAAGAAGACAGGAAGATGACCTTTGGCACATATGGCTGCACCACACTAGTTAGCCCTGGGAGTTTTCTGGGTCTCTAACGGGGCAGGCTCCGACCTTGGGTCCCTGGGGGGATGACCTGGGCGTGTCCTTGAATCACTCCTTCTTGCAGACTGGACAACTGCAGCCTCACCTCACACTGCTGCTGGCATCTTTCCAGGATCCTGACCTCCAACCGAAGCCTGCAGAAGCTGAGCCTGGGTAACAATGACCTTGGCGACCTGGGGGTCATGATGCTCTGTGAGGTCCTGAAGCAGCAGGGCTGTTTCCTCCGGAGCCTACAGTAAGTGCTCTGCAGAGGAACCACCCAAACCCCACTCTCCAGAGGCACTGGCTCTCAGGGTTAGGTTGGGCCTGGCCCCATGCCTTTACTGGGGTACACAGGAATTGGGCTGCCAAGTCAACAGCATCCAGAGATTCAGAGCACCCAGGTACAGTCGGTGCGAGAAGGCTTTCCACCCAGCGTCCTGGGGGAAGCCAGTCTGGTGACAGTGGCCGACGGTGCTCTGCAGAACCAGGAGGGTCTCTGATGGCAAGTGTCCTAGCATAGTGGGCTGCTGTCCTGGCTCTGAGGATTTCTAAATGAAAAAGGGGAGAAATTCCACGACACTCAGCAGGAGGGACCTCGACCCGCGGACTTCCGCTGTGCCTCAGTGGTGGGCATCAGCTCTGTGGCCGGAGGTTGTAGAGCGTCTCCCAGATTCTTAGAGCCACAGCCGTTGGGGGTCCGCATTCTGTCCTTGGGTCTCTCTCTGCTCTCCTGGCTCCCCTCACCCTCCTGTCTGGTACGTGTTGGATTGTCAAGTCTTGATCCCGGGGCTAACTTTTGTTGCTCACACTTTCTCCCTGATTTGAATGTCCAGTCTCTGGCTTCACCAAGGATGTGCTGTGCCCTCAGGCTACCTCTGTGAATTCCATGTCTGAATGCTTCTCTGATCCCTCCTCTTGGAGGTTTAATGTGCTCCTCAACTCCCCCATCCAAATCCAAACTCCTGCTCCTCCTCTCTGTCTTTGACCAGCTCCGTCCCAGTTGCAGTCAAGACCGAACTTACTCCTAACAGCTCAGTCCAGAGTAGTCTGGTGCTGACCTTAACAGCTCTTCTTTCTTAAACCTGCATCTATCCAATCAGCTTGTCCTGTGAGATCTGCTTCCATGGGATATCCACTCCCTGGCCTCCTCTTGGTGGTTTCATGTCACTGTCTGGTCACTGTCACCTCTGGTCTAGGTTGTAGGATGCATTCTGAAATGCCATGTCTGCACTGCTCCTTGGGTAGCACACACAGTGAGCTGCTGGATGTGAGACAGTTCTTCTCACTCTTGCCAGGTGCTCTAGTGACTTCCTGTCACATTCACAGTGGGGAGGTGGACTGCAAACTCTTGGTGGCTCTGAGCCCCTTCTGCCAGCGGCAGCTGCCTCTGATGCTCATACTGCTTCCATTGCGGTGGTCTCCTTTCGGGTTTGCCAGAGCACAGCCATCTCTGGACCTTTGCTGGTGCTGTCCCTGTGCCTGGAGTTCTGTCYCTTCCAGTTCCCACTTGCTTGCTCCCACACACCCCTACCTGATCTACACGAGGCTTTGTACTGAAAGCAGCCAGCTGCCCATTCTCCTCCACAGTGGCGCACCCCTTCCGTGCTGTGTCATTTTCTTGCTGGTTCATTCTCTATGTCTTTTCCCCACAACACATATTCCGAGTCCAGGGACTCCTGTCCACTGCTTGTTCCCAGGCTGAGCCCGCCAGGGTGCAGGTTGGAATCAACAATGGCTGATCAGCGCTGCACCCTCGTGGGGATGCAGTGGGACACTTCTCCACGTTCCCAGGAAATACAGGTGTAGGGACGGAGGGCAGAACTGCTCAGGATGAAGCTGGGGACATTGTTATTTGTGTGTCACTGATGTAGCCCTGAAGGACATTCATGACCTGGCCTGGGGACAGGCTCAGAACAGCCTGGGGAATTCACAGATGCTAGGAGCCTGTCTCCCTCAGCCCCAGCCTCCATAACAAAACCAGGCGGGTGGCATAACAGCGGGAGCTTGTTTCTCACAGTCTGGAAGCTGGAAAGTCCCAGATCAAGGTCTGGCTAGTTCCGAAGCTGGTGGGGCTTTTCCCTTATTTGCAGATAGCTTCCTTTTTATGATGTGCTTACGGCGGTTGGCGGGTGGTGAGCGGGAGAGAGGAGTTGGGATAGATGCCCTGGAGTCTGTCCTGCAAGGCCATCGACCATTGTGAGGGCCCCATTTGTGACTTCATCTGTCTCTAACCACCTCCCAAAACCCCAACTTGCCTTGGGGGGTTAGGGCTTCACGGGTTTGAAGGCAGATGCTTAGTGTGTGACACCACCAACCAGAGCCTGCTGGAATGAGGTGGGGACAGATGGTTCCAAGAGAAGCTATGAAATACTGGGAGGTGCTCACATCAGAGACACCTCTGTGGTGTCCTTGAACTGCAGGGCAGATGTAGGGATCCCGATTAAGTGAGTGCTGTGGAAAACACAAGACCACTGAGAAGATCTGAGCCCAGACAGGATGCTGGTGATGCAGAGGGACAGGTGTAAGCCCAAACTGGCTGCAAGGGTTTCTGTGTGGTTGTGTTTATTAAGGCCTTCTTCCTTCAGGCCACAGTGAAGTGCCTACAGACACATGAAACGCAGTGTCTAACACAACCTGTTGACATAGGAGTGGGCAGCCGAGAGGTGACCTGCTAGACCTGGCAGTGGACACATGGTCATCATGCAGTCTTCTTCACCTTCACCTGTGTTTGAAGAGGCCAAACATGAAGGTTCAGAATAGAGCAGTCTGTACTGGTTACTCCAGCTACTCAGGAGGCTGAGGCCGCAGGATCCTCGAGTCCAGGAGTTTGAGGCCAGCCTGAGCAACACAGGGAGACACTTCTCAGAAACAAACACTTCAGAAGCCAGCTCTGCACTCATAGCATAGAGGCATGTAGGGTTCAAGGTTTGAGGAGATGAGTTTTTCTCCAGCACTGGGGGTGGACCCCAAGGTGCTCTACCCCTGAGCTGCACCCCTAGTCCTTTTTATTTTTTTATTCTGAGACAGGGTCTTCCCAAGTGACCCAGTCTGTCCCAGAACTTGGTATCCTCCTGGCTCGGCCTCCTGAGTTGCTGAGATCACAGGTGTATGACTGGCTGGGAGATGAGAATCTTAAGGCTAAAAACTGAGTGTTCTGAGTACAACCTAATAGTTTCTGTTTGCCTTTACAGGTTGTGTGAGATGTATTTCAATTATGAGACAAAATGTGCATTAGAAATGCTCCAGGAAGAAAGGCCAGAGTTGACCATCATCTTTGAGCCTTCATGGTAGGGGTGGACACAGGCCTGCCAGACACTGGATTCTTTGGTTCCACCACCCAGCTGTCACAGGTGAGGTGAGCCCTCCTGCGCCCAGAGTCACCTCCACATGATCAGTGTCACAGTCAGGGTGACCAAAAGCGCCCTCATGGAGGGAACCGAGGCCATTCATTCTCCTGGACAGTGCGGTTCTCAGCACCACCACAGTTGCAGATGTTCCTGATGGACTCACAGAGTCACCTCATTCAGTAAACACGTTCTCTTCCTTTTCCTCTTCCTGCCCCCAAGTGTCCCCTCCCCATCTTCCCTTCTCATTCTGTTTACTTTTGCCAAAGTCTCCATCCCCCTACTAAGTGTCTGTTACACAGAACTACCTATGTGCTATGTGGAATTTTGTGGCAGCTACTTATTTATTTTTAATTTTGTAACAGTTTTCTAACAAAAGTAATTCATGTTTATTTTAGCTAGTTGAAAATTGAGAAATATATAAAAACTTCTGGTTATTAAATTGATTGCTTAATTCCAAAAAGTACCCAGAAATCTTTTGAATTATTCATCTAAACTACTAAAGATTGATTGCTGTGTGCATTTAAATATCTCTTTGCAAAGTGACTCAACTGTGGTTGGTGGAAACCGAGTCATCTTACTCTAGCTCTGCGGGTGGAATGTCAGCTCTGTGTGGCAGGGTGGAATGGCACAGGGCACAGAAGTGAACACAGGGCATGTCTCTCACCTGGGCTGTCTTGGATTTGTCCTGACAGAAGAGCAGTCCCTCTGGTGTGCTCACACAGCATAGGGTGTAGGGTGGAGCGAGTGCTTCTGTGAGCCTGGGCGGTGTTGGAGCACACATGTTGCTAGAAATGGAAATCCCGCTTCCTCATTCAATGAGCCACCCAGGCCTTGGCTACTCAAAGCGGCGTGTTGATGAACAGAGGTTGTGCAAGAATGTAAATCAATCTCATGATTGCACACACACTTTTCAGATAAGCTGTTTTTTTTTTTTTTAAATTGCAAGACCCTCTAGAGGAAACTGTGTGCCAATGTGTTAGTCAGCTTTTCATTGCTGTGACCGAAATACCCAACAAGAATAACCTAGAGGAGGAAAAGTTCATTTGGCTCATGGTTTCAGAAGTTCAGTCTATGGTCAGCTGACTCCATAGCTCTGGGCCTAGGGGAGGCAGAATGGCATGGTAGAGGAGCTGGGAAGGAGCCATGGGGACAATACCTAATCCCTAAGTGCACTCCTCCAGTGAGCCTGCTCCTTCAGTCACACCCCACCTGCGTTCAGGGACCACCCCGTACAGTGGTCCTTTCATTATTAATCCAGAAAACAGTTCAATGCACTGATTAGGTCACAGATCTCATAATCTAGTCAACCATCTCACCTCTGAACATTCCTGTGTTAAGGAGATTTTGGGGGGACATCTCATATCTAAACCATACACCTAGCTATTTGGGATACTAAGGCAGAGGATCATATGTTCAAGGCTGGCCTGGGCAACTGAGACTCTGTCTCAAAGTGAAAAATAAAAAGGGCTGGAGTGGCTCAGTGGTAGAACGCTTGCTTAGCACAGGTGAGGCACTGGGGTCCATCCCTAGCACTTCATAAATAGTGAAGGCGGCTGTGCGGCTGACATGCCAGTGCAGACTTTCTCTGGTCTAGGACTTTCAAGTAGCTCTTATCTGCATATTTGCTTTCTGCATCTTGGTTAAATGCTGCAGATTGCCTCCTTGCCACAGACCCTTAGAAATGCTGAATAAAAAGTGTGACTAAAATACACGCATGGAGATGGAGAACACCGCAGAGCAGAAGAGGTGGTGCAGAGACAAGGGCTGCTGCTCTGTCACACGTGGACGCTGAGAGTTGATCACATGCAAGTTGAGGGTTGAATCATGGACACTAAAGGTTGGAAGGGCCAGGAAGTCGGGCAACAGAGGCAGGTTGGAACGAGCTCTGAGGTCCCAGCCCAGGAGGGAGACTTGGTGCACAGCCATTTACACTGTTTATGACCAGCCAGAAGAGGAGAGGCTGCAGATTCCCAGCACAGAGAAGCAGTGAGCACTTGGGGAAAGGAAATGTGAGTGATCTGATGGGAGCGTCACCATGGTACATCCCTGGGGCATGCGTGAGTGCACACACAGTACCTGTCAGTGACAGAGCCTTGCTAGGAGCAGCCCCTTATACAAACTAAACGCACACAGCCCATGGGAACTTGGAGTACGAGGAACTAAGACCTGCTTTATGAGTGTAAGAGTTTGTCCCTCAGTGGCTGAGAGGAATCCCTGGACACAGAGACCATGGCGGGACACCAGAGGAGGGAGGGAGAGAGGGAGAAGGGATGGTGGTCACCAGAGCAGGAGGGAGGAGGAGAGATGGTGGTCATCCAGGAAGTGTTCTGCATTATTAGAACTGCACTGCCAGTGAAGTGGCTGGTCAGACATCAATAGTACAAAGACTGTGGATACCAGAGGCATGGTGGCACCCCTGGAGGAAGGGTGGAAGAGGGATGGTGGACACCAGGAGGAAGGGAAGAGGAGGAGGGATGGGTGGTCACCAGAGGAGGAAGGGAAGAGGAGGAGGGATGGGTCACCAGAGCAGGAGGGAGGAGGAGGAGGGATGGTGGTCACCAGAGAAGGTAGGGATCTTAGACACCAGGCAGAGAGGGTAGAGCAGGGAGGGCGGATCCAGAGGAGGGAGGGAGCAGGTGGGATGGGAGGTCCTAGGGCCACTAAGTGACTCAGCATGGACTTCCCTCAGGAAAGTACAACTCATGAAATAGGACACACAAAAAAAGAGAAGTCGCCATTGAACAGAATCACCACAGTGCAGCTGTCCCCTTCTGGGGTGTTCAGAGGTGCTGAACTCAGCGTCCCACAGCGTGGGTCTCCCACAGCCAGACCTATGGCAGGGCCTCCTCAGGGAGCAGCAGGACCTCAGCACTGCCCCTGGGAGCTCTTCCAGGATGGCTGCCACCTCTGAGTCCTGGCTTGCTCTGACCTGTGGCCTGTGGTTGTGGCTTCCTCTATCTCTGGCTGCTGTGGACACAAGGCCTTTCTTTGGCTTTGGACCTTGTTCTTCACAATCKTCAAGTTCTCCTCCCTCTTCCTCACAAGCCTGGACCTTCCTCATCTTTTCAATTCATGCCAATGACCCCCATCTGAGAAGCCGTCTTTGGTTACCTTAAGTGAAGTGGGCTTTCCCGACGACTACCACATTTTAAAATTTCAAATTAARCTAAAGTTGTCAAATAAAAATTGAACATATCTATGGCACACATGGTGAGTTTTTAAAATATGTATACATGGTGGAATGGCTAAATCAAGCTCACCTGACATACTTGGTGGGGTTTGGCATCAGAGCCCCTGGGTAACAACACAGTATTGTTTTCTGGAGTCGCTACCAGGACCACGGGGCTCTTGAGAGCCTATCTGAAGCCGTGTAGCCTCTGACCAACATCTCTCCAGGCCCACAGTCTCTATTTTCTGCTTGTGTAAGTTTGATTTCCAGTTATTTACTTATGTAGTAAAGATCAGAAGTTTATTTCCCATGGCTCTGGACTCCAGGAGGCCCATGATACGGGGCCAGCAGGCTGCCCGCCATCGGTGTGGCCTGCTCTTTGCTGTTTCCTCCTGTGGTAGAATGAGGAAGGGGTGAGCCAGGGCCGGGCTGCTGTAGGTTCTGCAGGCGACATCACCTGTCTGTTCCACTCACTTCACCTGCTGGGGATTCATCCTTGACGATGGCAGCATGGACTCCCTTCCAAAGTCTGGATAGTATTCTCCTGGATGCACACTTCTCAATTCTTCAAGTGTCCGAGGACATTTATGGTGACCCCACAGGTTCACCCTGGGTGCCTCCCTATCTGGCAGCCTTAGAACTACTGAGTTTCCTCATGTCTGAGGCCCTAAAGACAGAGTAACTACCTGGAAACTACCAGCTTTCTACAACCTGGTCTGGAAGGTGGAGATTGTCTTCCACTGCATTCTGTCCAGCATGTTATGAAGACCAGTGCTGGTTCAT